GGCCAGGGTTCAAATCCAAGGTCTGCTCTCAATATTGCCTGTGAATTGCTTATATGCTCAGTGCCTCAGTTTCCCCATCTGTAAACGAGGGTAGTTTTTAAAAAACCCAGATTCCACGTCATTAAGTTATTTTGAGGATTAAATTAAATTCACATGAGATGCTAAAAAAACCCAAAACAAAACGGGGGCGCCTGGGCGGCTCAGTCGGTTAAGCGTCCGACTTCAGCCAGGTCATGATCTCACGGTCCGTGAGTTCAAGCCCCGCGCCGGGCTCTGTGCTGACAGCTCAGAGACTGGAGCCTGTTTCGGATTCTGTGTCTCCCTCTCTCTCTGCCCCTCCCCTGTTCATGCTCTGTCTCTCTCTGTCTCAAAAATAAATAAATGTTAAAAAAAAATTAAAAAAAAACAAATAAAAAAAAGGTTCCTGTTTAGTATTGTCATAATTAATACTTATATGCATTTGCTCATATACTTTTTATTTCTTTATTTTTTACCTATTTGTTTTATTTATTTATTTTTAAATTATTTTTGTAAATATGAAACTTACTGTCAAATTGGTTTCCATACAACACCCAGTGCTCATCCCAACTTTTTTTTTTTACCTTTTTTTTTTTCAACGTTTATTTATTTTTGGGACAGAGAGAGACAGAGCATGAACAGGCGAGGGGCAGAGAGAGAGGGAGACACAGAATCGGAAACAGGCTCCAGGCTCTGAGCCATCAGCCCAGAGCCCGACGCGGGGCTCGAACTCATGGACCGCGTGATGGTGACCTGGCTGAAGTCGGATGCTTAACTGACTGCGCCATCCAGGCGCCCCCCTTTTTTTTTTTTTTTTTTTTACCTTTTTAACGTTTATTTTTGAGAGGCAGAGAGTGAGTGGAGGAGGGGCAGAGAGAGAGGGAGACACAGAATCCGGAGCAGGCTCCAGAATCCGAGCTGTCAGCACAGAGCCCGACACGGGGCTTGACCTCACGGACCGTGAAATCATGACCCTGAGCTTAAGTTGGATGCTTACCCGACTGAGCCACCCAGGTGCTCCTCTTTATTTTTTTAAAGGAAACTCTACACCCAGCACGGGGCTTGATACTCATGTGGCAGAGATCAAGAGTCACATGCTCTCCCAACTGAGCCACCCAGGCGCCCCTTACATTCTTTATAACTGCATTTGACAAGCGAGGAAATTGAGGCTCAGAGAAGGGACATGTCCTGCCTGAGGTCACACAGCTGGGAAGTGTCAGCGTTGAGATTCAAAACCCACGTGGGTCTGAATCTAGACCCTCGCCCTCCGCCACTATGCCACTACGATGTTTGCATCCAGGAAGTGTGAGGACCTTGCCTGTTGTAGCCCCTGGGAGTGTGGAATTGCACAGAGTGCTGGGCGGGGAACCGGGAGACAGAGTCCTCCACGTTCATTTAATCCCATCCATGCAGCCATTTGTGAAACACTTACTGAGCATGTGCTGTGTGCCAGACCCTGCTCTAGGCACCAGGGATCCAGCTAGGAGCAAAGCAGACAAAACCCCCAGCCTTGGGAAGGCCCAGGGTCTAGTGGAGGAGACAGATAATCACCAGATAACTATCTGTATGTATTAGAGTCAATGCGTGTCCAAGAAGGAGGTCATGGAAGGCTCCCCCGAGGAAGTGACCAAGTGACGTTTGAACTGAGCTCTGAAGGGTGAGTAGGTATACACCGGGTGAAGATGGGGAAGAGATGGGGAAATACTCCAGTGGGCAGGACCGTCCCATGCAGGGTCCCGGGCAGGAGGGAGTTTGGCTCATGGAGGACTGCCAAACACCTAAGCTCTAGGGGGCGGGTAGCACTTTCTTTCGTTTATTGTCGCATCCCTCCTGCTTGACACGTTGTCTGACACACCGTAAGCAGCCAATAAATATTGACTGAATGGAGGAGTGAACAAGTTCAAGAGCAAGTAGAGGAATGTATGTATGGACGGACGGACGGACGGACGGATGAGTGGTGGGCTGGAGGATGCATCTATGTCGGTGGGTGGATGAAATGATAGTCGGATGGGTGAATGAATGATTCAACGGATGGACGGATGGGTGGATGGATGAGTCAATGGATGAATTTGTATCAATCCCTACGGATTCACACACAAATGTTCCCAGAGACACGCACACGTGTGTGTAAACAAAGGTTCACCTCTTCTCCTGGTGCTGACCCCGGAGAGGACAAACACGGAGAAGCTGGCCACGCTGGCCAGGGCCTGTGTGGATGAGGACGCAGGGAGGCAAACCCTCTGACCAGGGCTACAGCCGGGCCCCACCCCCACTGCGGCACTGACATAATTTCTGGAATAGGAAGAAAATGCCGATTCAGGGATTTTTGTCCCAGGCTGGGAGCCAGGCCAGGGAGTGGGACAGGAGTGGCCCAAGAAGGATGAGGTGAGTGGTAGAAGGAGGCATGTGCGGCTAAGACAGACAAAGGGGACCGAGAGATAGAGAGATAACAGAGAAGCAGAGGTAGGGCAATGGAGACAGAGACAGAGACACTCAGAAAGCTGCAGAGACACAGAGAATAAGAGATGAACGCAGAAAGAGACACACGACGTAGAAATTCAAATCCAGACACAGGGCGAGATGAGGCAGGGTTCCAGAGACAAAAGAGAGAGAGAGAGAGACAGAGAAATGGAGACACAGAGAGACGGAAACATACAGACCCAGATGCTCGAGGGGAGAGAGACAGAAACGGAGAGACAGACATGGAATGACACCCAAAGAGGGCAGAAAGAGAGCTTCAGAAGAGGCAGCTAAAACTAGGCTCAGAGAGGGGAAGGCATTCGCCCAAGGTTGCACAGTCTGGACGTGGCATTTGATGCTGGGTCTGTTTGACTCGAGTCCATTCCACGTTCTCTTCTTCACCCTATGTTGCCTCATGAGGACCAAAAGGCACACAGGCAAGTGGGGTTGAGACTGCTGAGCATGGGTCACAGCAATAGGAACAGTCATTCATTTACCCACTCAACGCATCCCGGCTGGGGTGACACTGGAGAGTCAGAGATAAATTAGGAGCTTCTGGTCTACCAGGGTAGGTAGACCCCGCTCTGGAGTGACGGGAAAGAGCATTCCAGGCAGAAGGCACGGGAGGTGGAGAGTGAAAACAGGACCAAGGCGGGAAGGATTGGAGAGTGTTTGGAGGGGTGAGGTGAGGGAGGAGGGTGGGACCAGAGGGTGCAGATCTCACATGCTCATTGTCTGGGGGCACTGGGGAGCCATGGGAGGGCTGCAAGCTGGGGAGGGGCAGGTCAGCTCAGGGAGCAGAAAGACCCGTGTGGAACCCTTTGGGAAGGAATGAGGAGGCGGAGGGCAAGGGTCCAGGCAGGAGAAGACGAAGCCTGCGGGTCAGGACCGTGGGAATGGAGAGGAGAGGAAGCAGGAGCGAGAGTCCGCGGGCAGCAGAGCTAGAGCTCGAGGGGCTGTGGGGGGGGGCTTTTGTGCCTGTTGTCATGGGAATGAAAGATGTCTCCTGTCCTATAGGGATGGGGCTGGCCGCTGGAAATGGAGAAAGACAGCCTGATGGGAGAGAAAGACGTCAGGGTGACTAAAGGGAGTCAGGGCCACAGAGGAACGGGAACTGAGTCTCTTTAAGCGAGGATTGTTTTCTTTTTTAATTTTTTAAAATGTTTATTCATTTTTTGAGAGAGAGATAGAGAGAGAGAGAGAGAGAGAGCATGCGCGGGGGAGGGGAAGAGAGAGAGGGAGACACAGAATCTGAAGCAGGTTCCAGGCTCTGAGCTGTCAGCACAGAGCCTGACGCGGGGCTCAAACCCATGAAGTGTGAGATGATGATCTGACCCAAAGTTGAATGCTTCACCGACAGAGCCACCCAGGCGCCCCTAAGCGAGGAATGTTTTAACTGGCAATGACAGAGACTCAAAGGACTTCAGCATAACAGGCAATAAATTGAGTGGATGACGGCTTCAGGCATGGCTGGATCCAGGTTTCCCAATCACCATCATCAGGAATCTGTCTGCATCTTTCGTTTCTGCTTTCCTCGCCAGGCACGTTCTCTCCCCGTAAGGTGATGTGATAGCCCCCGGCAGCTCCAACCTCGACTCTGACCAGCCTGGCAACCTTGCTGGGGAAAGAAAGATCCTCTTGTATCCAGCAAGAGTCCAGGGGTTGACTCTGCATTCTAGATTGATTTTTTAAGCTCGCCCCTGAAGAAATCACTGAGAAAATCAAGGTGTGTCACTAGGCTAGAAAGCAGAGAATCTATGCGTATCAGGGAGGAATAATGGGCATTCAAGGCAGAGACCATCTGGGAGTGGAGATCAGAGGACTAGAGATACAGGTAACAGAGACAGAGAGGGAAGGACGGGCGGCGTAACTAAGCAAGCCCAGTCTCTTCTCTCACAGTTGCTGCTGAGACCTCTGCGGACGAGAAGAAAGAGTTGCCTTAGGGACACCTGCTTGGCACCGCCCTTTTACTCCTGCACTCAGGCGCAGGCGCCCCCCAGACCGTTCTCCTCTGGATCCAGGAATCCAGGCTCTCTTTCCTTCCTCCCTTAGACCCAGAAGTCCAGGTGCCCCCACCCCCTGCTCCTTCCTCCCTCCCAGCCAGGAGATGGAACCTCCAGCCCCTCCCCCTCCCTCTGGAGGTACCATGGCAACCAGGTCCCCTGCCCAGCTTTCTCCCCACCCCATATAGAATCCCATTTCTGTTTGAATCTGGCCTGTGTCTAACCAGTTCCTGCGTGAGACAGGGATGAGCGAAGGGCAAGTGGGACCAGAAAAGGGATGACAGGGGGCAGGGGAGCCAGTTATGAGAGAAGAGAGATGGATAAAGGAGGCTGGGGAGAGGTGGGGAGAGAGGTAGGGAAACAGAGAGGTAGGCTTGGAGAGAGGCAGACTCTGAAGAGGGCCGGAGGGCTGGGGAGATGGTGGGGAAACTAGCCGAGGAGTCCAGGGGGATGCAGGGAGAGAGGGGGAGAGAGTAAAAGTGGGAGGGTGGTGGAGACGTGGGGAGAGAAAGAGGACCGGGGAGGGAGAGAGGCGGGGAGAGGCAGAGTCCCAAGGAGATCTGAAGACACAGAGGAAGACACGGGAAAGTGGCAGAGAAGGAACCGGGGCACACAGCATCTGGAACTCGTTGGGTTCCCAGAGGTTAGGGGAATCCACATTCCTATGTGGTCTCAGCCTTCCAGTTCTTCCATGGTTTTCCCCCGGGGGCTTCAAAGAGAAGGAGGAGGAGGCGGCCGTGGAGAGAAGGAGCTGGAGTGGGTGGGCGAGTCGGGGTTCTTCTCCCCATCCTCCTGAGACATGCCTCACCCGCCTTCCCAGGATGCAGCAACAGGTGGAGACCCTGGGCTCCTCCACCGCCGGCAACCCCAGCATGCACAGGGAGGCAGGTACTGAGCCTTGTGAGTGCGTGGGGGGGGGGGGGGGCCGGGGGGATTTCCTTCGTCCGTGCACCGTGTGGTAACATTGGCCTGCAGTGTGGCCTTAAGCGAGTCACTGGCCTACCAGCGAGCCATCCCAGACTCTGATGTTGACCAGATTCCTGGGTGGCACCCTTTGACCCTTAGATCACATGTCTCATGAACCTTTGCGGTTCCCTGGCCGATGGTCTGGACCCAGAACTACATTTCCCATGAGCCTCTGGGGCCTTAACAACTCTTCTGAGGCTGTGGCCTCCCTAGGTGCTCTGCCCTGGTCCCTCACGCTCCGCTTTTCGCCCTCACTGAGCTCAGCAGCTAACCCCAAAGCCACTCCTCCTCCGTCCTGCCCACCTTCAGTGGTCCCACTGCCAACATGGCCAGTGGGCTAGACCCCAGGTACCGCCCACCCCCCACTTCCGCCCACAACCTTTGGTCCCCGTTGCGCCGTCTCCCTGCCTTTCCATCCCCACAGCCCCAGCTCAGGTCTTGTCCTCTTCCTCTTTCCCTACCTAACTCCCGGTCTCCAGTTTCTCTCCTCAAGCCCATCCCCCATTTGGCTCCTGGGAGGTCATCTGACTGCCAGCACTGACCCTGTCCCTCCTCTGCTCACACACACCCCCCCCCCCCTTCCTTCTCCAACACTTCTGGGATGGAGTCCCAGCCCCTCAGCCTCAGACCCTGGGTGGTGGGCCACAAGCTGACAACTTCAGGCTCATGCTCCAGGGCTCCCTACTTGCCCCCTACACACGTCATTCACTCATTCATTCATTCACTCAATCAATATGTATTGAGGATGCATTTGGTTAGCATGTAATAAAAATTGGACTTAGTGTAGAAGAAAGAATAGTAGAGCCACCATCATTCAAAAGGAAGCCTGGAAGTGGGGTGGGGTTTGGGTTTGGTGGAGTCAGCAGCTCAATGATGTCATTGAGAACCCAGCTTTTATTTCCCTGTGTTTTAGTCCGGGAGGTATCTCCCTTGCACACCAGTCTGCTTGCCTCATGGCCACAAAATGGCTGCCGCAGCTCCAGGCATCACTTGCAGAGGGTTGTTCGTCTTAAGAGCCCCCACATGATCCCTCCTCACGTCTTTTTGGCCAGCACTCAGTCACCCACTCACTCTTGTCTCGACCCCCGGCAAAAAGATTATCATGATTATTTTAGTCAGCGGTCCTCAACTCTGGCCCTACATAAGGTGGGAGGATTTAAAACCAAAACATCTATACCCAAACCCGCTTCAGATCCAACTTAACCAGAATCTCTAGGACTTGGGTCCTTGCACCCATAGTTTTTGAATGCTTGCCAGGTGATTACAACAAACGGTGAGAGTTGCAAGGCATTGGTTCAAACTGGATGGGATGCCTTCGGAGAAAGGAGAGTGGGCAGCCTCCCCTGAGCTGCATGGACGAGGGATGGACACTTCTCAAACGGGGGGAAGAAGGGTGGGAATGGCCGAGTGGGTGTCTTTTCCGGGTGTCAGCTACAAGAGCCTGCTCTGTGCCACGTGCGCAGACATCCTCGTGGCAAAGCAGGTGCGTTTCTGTCCTCAGGTCTCTTTTAGTGTCTTGGAAGGCCTCTTTTCCTTTGGAGATCCCTGCCCCACGTCACCTCTAATCTGGACTGAGGCACCCGCCTGACAAATATAATTTATGTTTGGCTCCAGAAAAGTTGAGTGGAACTGAGTTGACGAGTTGGCCAGTTTTGTAGATCAATATTTGTTCATGTCAGCTTTGTGGCTTTCTTGGTGGTACTTTGGGACGAGTGACACTCTTTAACTTATCAGGTTGGCATCGGCCGACAGAAAGCCGGTGGTGGGACGCCTGGGTGGCTCAGTCAGTGAAGCGCCTGACTCTTGATTTCAGCTCAGGTCATGATCTCATGAGAGATCATGAGATCATTTGTGAGATGGAGTCCCACGTAGAGCTCTGTGCTGACACGTAGAGCCTGCTTGGGATTCTCCCTCTCTCTCTCTCTGTCTCTCTCTCTCTCTGGCTCTCTCTCTCTCTCTGGCTCTCTCTCTCTCTGGCTCTCTGCCCCTCCCCCGCTCACACTCTCTGTCTCTCTCAAAATAAATACATGAAAGAGAGAAAGCAAGCAAGCAAGCCAGCCCGTGGGTCCCAAGCGCTTTGCCTATGGTACCTAATGAATGAAATGACCCAGCCTGTTCTCATGCAAAGAGGGCGGACATGAAATACACCATCTCACAAATAATTAATAACCTACAAATGAATAAGTGCTTCTTAGCTTGGGGCCGAAGAGAAGTCTGAGAAGTTCCTGCGGATGGCCATATTCTCTTGTGCTTAAAGACCTTAGCCCCTGGTGGTCCTCTGCATAGACATCTTTTTCCTGCCATTTCTTTATTTGGCAAGCTCCTCCTTATCCCCAGGTCTTACTGTGGACATTACCTCCTCCGAGAAGCCTCCCCTGATTGCCCCTAGACTGGGCTTCCCTTTCACCTTGTGACACCGCCACCGTAGCTCGTATTGCCCTTTGCACTGACTGCTTCCCCCACCAGACTGGGACCTTGTGGAGGGTAGAGCACATTGTCTAGACGAGAGTGGAGGACAGACAGCAGACTGGGGAGACTGAGAACACAGAGTCTGGATCCAGACGCCTAGATTTTTATCCTGATTCTATCACTTACGGCTGCGTGACCTTGGGCAAGTCACGTAATCTTTCTACGCCTCCGTTTCATCAGAAGGTAGTCGTGAGGATGCAGTGGAAAACACTTTTGAAAGAGGTTGGCTTTTTCTTTTAAAGTAAGCTCTACGCCTAATGTGGGGCTTGCACTCAAAACCCCAAGATCAAGAATCGCCATGCTCTCCCGACTGAGCCAGCCAGGTGCCCCGAGTGCTTGGCTTTTTAAAAGGGATTGTAAACATATGTGGGGCGCCTGGCTGGCTCAGTCGGTTAGGCGCCCGACTCTTGGTTGTGGCTCCGGTCATGATCTCACGGTTCACGAGTTCAAGCCCCGCATCAGCTTGAGGATTCTCTTTCTCTCCCTCTCTCTCACTCTGCCCTTCCCCTGCTCTCTCTCTCTCTCTGTCTCTCAAAATAAATACATAAAATTAAAAATAAATAAATAGAAAGGCCTGTAAACATAGAGCCATTATTGTTATTCCATGGATGGATCTGTAGGGATCGCTGTGTTGGAGGGGTGTAGGGGAGGCCACTATAGCTTGGAGAAGTCAACAGGGGTTACCGCATGCAGGGCCCGCGCTTCCCAAAGGGGATCTTGCTAAAATGCAGATTCTGATCCCATAGGTCTGGGGTGGACCCCACAATGCTGTGTCTCAAACAAGGTGCGGCTCCCCAGATCACGCACTGAGGCGCAAGTCCCCGCCTCGGGGAGGACTTTATTCCGATGGCGAGAGAAAGCCGCTGGTGGTTTGCGAGCGAGGGGCGCTGAGATGGAAAGATCGTCCCAGCTGCCCTGCGCAAACAGATGGGAAGGTGGAGGATGGGGACCAGAGAAGGGATTTCCGATGGTACAAGCTGAGCTATGTCAACACCCCGGAAGTCAAAGACCTCCAGGAGCGTAGCTGTGACATAGCCGTGTGCTGGAGACAGCCTGTCCCTGCTCGCAAGGGCCGATTGTTAAGGTTTGCAAGCTGGTTGTTAAAACCGTGGGGAGCATGAAATTGGTCATGGTGGGTATATTGACAGCGTGAAAACTGGCAAATGCTACAATCTGTGCGTGTGTGAGAGAGACAGAGAGACAGAGAGACAGGGAGCGTGACATTAATGAAACATTTGAGAGCGAGAAAGAGATTAATTGAACATTTACCAGCACACCACTGAGTTTATTGGCTTGCGCCGAGGGAGTCCCTAACACACGGAATGCCCTAGGAGGGGCTGTTCGGTTAGGTGACTTTGGGAGCCCTCGGGGGAGCAGGCTTGGGATGCTGGCGGGAAGTGGAGGCAAGTCTGTGACGCAGGAGGATTGAACGGCGCTAACACCGTGGGTGGGAACGAAGCAGCATCAGCTCTAAACCAAGCGGCGGCTCTTTGGTCATTTTTGTGGTTCGGGCGGTGTTCATGTTCTGTCGTGTTGAGACGAGGCTCCGGAGCGGCCTTATTTTTATCTCGGCCTGCCCTGGTCACAGAGAGGCCTCGGCTGACGTTGGTGCTCCGTGAAATTGTTTATGGCCGGCAGGAGCGTGATCAGCGTCACGACCTGCTCTCTGTTCGGCTGCCCCAACAAAGAGACACCCCCAAACGCAATGGCGTTAAGACGAGAGCGCGACAGGGGATCGGGCGGTCCGGCTTGCTGGGACATCCCAGCCGCATGAGATGACGCGGGGACCCGGGTTCCCGCCGCATTGTTGCTCTAGCCTCGCGGAAGCTGGCTTGTCGCTACGGTCACGCTTCCGTCCGAGGGAAAGGGCAGCGAGTCCAACACATGAGCCCAAAGTTGCACCCCTCCCTCCCCCAACACCGTCGGCGAGAACTCGCTCGCATGGCCACACGCGGCTGCAAGGGGTGGTGGGAACTGATGTCTCTAGTTGGGCGGCTGGGTGCCGGGGGGGGGGGGGGGGGAACCCGAAGACTGCAGAGGAAGGGGAAAACGGATTATGGGGGACAACTAGCGGTTGGCCACAAGAGAGACCAGTTAGTCGAGGGAGGGGTCGCCTAGAAGGGCCGATCGGCGGCTGTTGTCGGTCTGGTTGGCCTCAGGAGGCCGGTTCTGAGACGGTGAGAAAACCACACCGGGTTCAAATGGTGTTGGGGGTGCTGCGGAATGGGAAGCAAAACCGGGCGAGTCCCTCCCTCCCTCTTCCTCCTGCCTTGCAGCGCCTCTCGAGCGCCCCCTGTAGGCAGAGCCTAACGGGAACCCAGCAGTCGGAGCAGAGCAGGGGTCAGGAGAGTCCCCGCCCGGGGATCACGGACGGAGTGGATGCAGTGGGGCGTTGGGAGCTGAGAGTCAATAAATAGCTCGGTAACTGGCATAAGAGCCATTCGGGAATGGTACGGACAATACTCGGGGAAGCCCGCTGAAGCCGAATAACGTCTGAGGGGTGCGCAGGGCGGCTGACACCCGGTCTCCATCCCCAGGAGCCCTCCTTGTGGACGTTGAGACCCTAGAGGAGACGCAGACTCGGAGCCTGGGCAGGCCTGTCAGATCCTCGTGAGTGGCCCCTGGTCTCATGACTTCTGATCTCAGCCCCCCCTGGGGGGCGATGACAGCCCCCTCCCTGACCGCCGAGGTCCCTGCCCGCTCGCCCTCTCCCCAGGAAGCAGTACCTGCGTCAGGTCATTGCAGAATACGAGGCGCTGGACCGAGAGCTACCATGCCTCCGGAGGTTTCCCACACCACCCGCTGCCCAGCCTCTCTGTCTGTGCATGGAGACCTCAGTGAGTGGCCCCCTGCCCCTGGGACCCCAGACCCCCAGTCTCTGCACAGCTTGGGTGGGACGATAGAAAGGGAACAGGCTCAGAAATGAGGGGGGCAGGGCTTCAATCTAGGCTCTGCAGCTGGCCAGCTGTGGGCTCGGCACAGGACAGGTCGCTAAAAATTGATTACGAATTTGTCAAAGGGTCAGACGTCACATTTGTCACTGATGACCTGGGAGGGGCAGAGAGAGCGGGAGAACGAGGGGCAGACAAGGGCTGAGACTGAAAGGCAGGTGTCCTAGGGGCACCTGGGTGACTCGGTTGGTTAAGTGTCCGACTTCTGCTCAGGTCATGATCTCACGGTTTGTGAGTTCCAGCCCCGCGTTGGGCTCTATGCTGACAGCTCAGAGCCTGGAGCCTGTTCAGATTCTGTGTCTCCCTCTCTCTCTGCTTCTCCCCTGCTCACGCTCTGCCTCTCTCTCACTCTCTCAAAAATAAACATTAAAAACTTAAATTAAAAAACAAACAAACAAAGGAAGGCCAGTGACCTGCTAATTGATCCTATGCAATTCTGTTAAGTTTGCAAATACAGCAGAGACTCAAGATGAAACCCATGTCTTGGGCAGATTCGGTGAACCGGTCATTCCTGGTACAAGTCCTTTGGCAATCGCTGCCGTCGGTCAGCAGAGGTATCTGTTAGGTTCTCGCTCAAAAGTTACCTGAGAAGAGCTGACCTTAATGGGACGCTTCCCGTGTTTCAGGCACTGGTCTCAGACGCACTCCCTCAGGTGATCTGTGTGACTTTACCCCAACACAGAGATTGTTGTCCTTGTTCTAGGAGCTCATTCCGAGCCCATCCCTCCTCTTCTTTGTGGCTTTGGACAGGGGACCCCGCCTCCTCCTCACATACATGGCACAGCTTGCCTTCCTGGAGGTGACCGATGTCATGATGTCACCCTATTTTCTGAGCAATTTTTTATGTTCCGATGATGGTATATCACCTTCTGGATGGTAATCTCACGCTAAAAATGTGGTTAGTGATCAATATGTTTCTGAATGACCAGTCAAGCCCCCTATGACCCTTATTGTTATTATTATTATTTTTTGCAACCGGACATTCCTTAAAATGCTGATAGGAACATAAACGGAAACGTGTACAACTTAAGTCCTTGCGGGATCTTTAAGAGCCGCTAAAAGTCTGCTCTCCAGCGCAGGTTGCTGGAAAAGTTTTTGGTAGATTGGTAAAGTTGACCACATTGGCGAATTATTTAAGCCCACTGCTCATTGACTACTGGCAAATCCGCCTGGTGAGAACTGATATTTTTGGAGAATGACCTAGAATGACAGTTGATGCTTTTCTACCTGAGAGATGCCTGTTCTCCCGGGTCTGACTAGAGCGATAGGCTCCCGCAAATGTCACCGGGGATTCTGGCAGGTTCTACAGGTGGGTCTAAGGTGGGGACTTCCGGAACCTTGCTGCCCACGAGTGTCACATGCTGAGGCGCTCTCTCCTGACTCCTCCAGCCCCAGGAGGACTTTACCCATCTGGAGGTGCTGGAGGCTCTGGAGGCCGAGTTACCCGGGGCCATGGAGAGCGGGCGCGTGACCAGTATCCGTTTTGAAAATACGAACGTCATCTGTGGGACGGCGGGGTGCCGGGACAGGTGAGTTTGGGGCGGATCCTAGGCTGGGAGCGACCGGGAAGGGCCTGGCGGCGGGGAGCAGGTTGGAGGAGGTGAGGGGTGTGGCCTAGGGAGGTGGAGGGAGGGGCGGAGCCAGAGCCAAGGCGCCGAGTCCCGCTCGGGGCCGGGCAGGGAAGGAGAGCCGGACTGAGTCCGGAAGCACCGGATTTGGGTGCGGCTGGTGGTGAAAGTGCGGGACGACGGGGCAGAGTGTGAGAACCGGGAAGGGGCGGAGCCGAGAGTGAGCGCCGGGGGGGGGGGGGGGGCCGGGCCAGGTGAGATCAGAGAGCAGGTGGGATCTGGAGTGAGGAAATGGACTTCGAGGGACCCACGTGGTGACCTGGACGGATAAAACCGAGGCGTGGGGTCGGAGTCTGGGAAGGCGGCTATGAGGGGGCGGAGCCTGGGCCGAGCACATTGAAAGAGGGGCGCCACGAGCGATCGGGTGGGCAGGGGACCTGGAGGGTCGGGTTGGGGGCGGGACCGGGAGAAACCTAAATCTGGGGACGCGCCTGAGACTCACTGAGGGGGCGGGACTGGACAAAGAAAGGGGCGGGCCCTGGAGCGGCGGTTCGAAAAGACGGGGAGCCTCGACAGACGACGACCAGGGGACAGAATTAGATTGAGAGAAGAGCGGGGCCTAGAACGACCCATGCGAGGGTCGAAGCCCGGGTGGACCTCGGCGAGAGGTCAGGGCTGTCGAGGGGTTTCGGGAGAGAGTGACGGGATGAGGAGCCCGAGTGGGTAAACGAACAGGGACCAGGCTGGGACCACCAGCGATTCCCTTCGGTCTCCGCCCCGTCCCTGTCCTCTTGGCCCCACCCCTCGCAGGTGGCTCATCACGGTCGCGGACTTCCAGACTCGCTCGCGTCTGCTGCGCTGCGGCCTCCGCCTCCGCGGGCTCGAGCACCCGCTGGTGCGCCACGACGAGCTGCTGCTGGCCGATTACCGCCTGCACCTGCGCCGCTCCCTGGTCCGGCGGCGCATGCTCGAGGCCCTGGGGGCGGAGCCGACCGCGGAAGTCTAGCGCTCGGGGGGCGGGCCCCGGCTGCGCTTGCACGCCGCCCAGCTGGCTCGGGCTACCCACCCGGAACCCCCGAGGGTAGGGGGCGTTGCCTCCCCAGGAAGGAGGCGGGGCCGGCTCGAGGGGGGTGGATACTGTGAGTTTAATTATAAAGAATGACCTGGTACAAAAGCCATTTCTCTCTGCAAAATCTTGGTGGGGAGTCAGGGCGAGGGAGGTGACGGGGGGGGGGGGGGTAGGGATGAACCCCCGTAATATAATCCCGCCTCCCTCATCTTCCCCCAGTCCCTGCAAACGGACGCCTGGGTCCCGATCCCTTGAGGGATGAACTGAGAGGCTCGCGAGAGGGAAGACCCGGGTGGGCGCCGGGGGCTTTCAACCCATGCCAATCCCCGTCTCAGCGAGAACCTGACGTCCTCATCCTCCCCCCTCCTTTTTTCTTCTCCCACCCCCCTTGGAAGACAATTCTCGGGCTTTTATTTCAGGTTTTTTTTTCTGGATTTTTTTTTGTTGTTGTTGTTGCTGTGTGTGTGTGTGTTCTAGGGTTGTTTTTTTTTTTTTTTTTTTTTTTTGTTTTTTCATTATTGTTCCTCTTTTTGCTTGATCCTCTCCACCCCGCGCTGCCCCATCCAGTCCCTTCCCCACCCCCCACCCCGACCTCTCCTCCCCCCTCCCCACCCCCTACACCCTCCCCAACCCCGCGGCACCCATCCAGAATGAACAAGCCCTTGATAGACGGGCGCCGCGCAGGCCCCCTGCGGACGGGGGGCATCCGACAAGGGGGAGGGGGCGGGTAGGGGCCCAGCGCGACCTCTGCCCCCCTCCTTGCCATCCCTCCCCCCTCCCACGACCCTCCCACATGGTTCCCCGCAGATCCCTGACGTGGTGAGGGGAGAGGGCTGCAAGCACCCTCCCCCCATGGACGGAGCGCCCCCCCCTGGGGGGTAGGGGGCAGCAGAGGGGGAATGGGCTTGGGGAAAGGAGGGGGAGCTCCCTTCTTTGGCAGCTGAACATGGGGGGGACCTGAGGGCGATGCCCTCCCCCCTTTACCCACAGTAGGAGAGGGGGCTTCTCAGGGGAAGGGGTGGCTTAAAGTTCCCAAGCCCCAGGAATAAAGGGAGTGGGGGTGGGGGAGCGTGCAGGAAGGAACAGCCATGCTGGAGGGAGAGGGAGTTTCTCTGAGAGAAGGAAAGGTTGGGGGGGGGGGGGTCTTCGTGCAAAATGGATGGAGAGATGGTCCAGGAAGAAGTAGGAAGAGCGAGACGAGAGAGGGTGTGCAAGAAGTCACAGACTGGAGCAGGGAGAAGTGGAAGGATGGAGGCCACAGTGAGCAACAAGGGGGCTTGCCTAGGGTCTTCTCTGGCCAGAAGGAGAAAGGAGTGTGGAGAGGGAAGAAAATGGGCAGGCTCAGAAGGTCTGCACGAGCTGTTCCTCCACAGGAACAAGAAGTAAGGATGCTCGGAAAAGCGGGGAGAGGCCAGCCCCAGAGTGTGCGGACGGAGACACGTGTGCAGAAGGAGAGAGGTGGGAGGGTTCCCCCGGGGAGATGGACAAAGTCACCCAGGAGCCGGCGAGGACAAGCAGACATTCGAGAATGAGTGCGCAGCAAAGCCACGCCGTGCAGGAACGTTGTCAGAGGAAGGACCCGGCTTCGCGAGAGCAGTGAGAGCGCTGCAGAGGCTGTGTGCAAGAGTGAGGGTGGGAGAAAGGGCACAAAAGAGAATGAAGCAGGGCAGAGATCTGGAAAAGAAGGGTGCAAGGGAACGGG